ACGCTTACGTTTGCCATAAAGAGTTTTTTACTTATTTCCAAGACTCTGGCTAGATCGAGCAGTGAACACTCTCCAGGTTTACGCCCTTCAGTCTCCTCAAAAACTTCTATTACTGAAAAATCTCATGAGAACAACAAAGATTAGTGAACCTGTGTTTGTTGCATTTAATTCCCGTTGTTGCTAAAAGTGACCAAGAATTCAATTATTCGATTTAATCACCTCTCATGGCAAAGTAGAGCTTTGATGTTCTCCGCGGAATCAGTTTCCAAGGTATTGTTATAGCTTCCTGTGGCAGTTAACCAACGAAGTCAATTATGCTATCACTTCTTATGTTGATAAAAGCATTATACAAGAAAGAAAAATTGTACATGAAAACTCGGAAAATGTAGTTCGTATTCCAATGTCTCTTCAAGCGTTTTCTGTGAAAAAATGCCAAGAAAAACAACATACTTAGAGAGGTAGTGACGGAGTATAACAACATAAATTCATAGGAACGAAAAAACAAATTATAAGCCAGATAAAATCGAAAAGAAAAAAATGCAACATCAAATGATGTAAGTACCTTTGTGTACTTGTAATTTTGAAGGTCGACAAAGATTTCAGCACATGAATTTCTACAATCGACTGTGTAGAATGCCACTTGTTTCGATAACTTCCGCCATTTCTCATTAACAGCTTTCTGCCACAAATAAAGCAAACCACTCACGTTATGAAAGTGATGTATGGAGCAACCAAAGATGAAAGCAAGTGTAAACTAAACAAAAGTTGTTATCAGTACTTTGGTAGCACGAGAACTGTAGCCTATAACCACAACATCAAACTTCTCGAAAAATTCAGCGCCAAGTGTTGACAAATCACCTAAAAGATTTGAAAATATGACCAGACAATAAAAGTCAATTATATAGTCTTATGTTATTAAAACTTTAAAAGGAAAGGTATTAGAGAGAAACCTTTCGCTACAGAAACAAGGACCATAGGGTTGAACTCCTTGAGTGAATCAGAGCAAACCTCAGCAACGGTTTTGCCCATATAAGCATTATCATCAGGAGGAATTAAGAAGTTTGCATTCAAAGTGTCTTCGTTAACTAGACCATCATCCATTAATGTCACACTCCCAACTCCTGCCAGCACAATGTTCTTGCAAAACTACGCACCAAGGGGAAACAAAAGCCGTATAAATGTAGCAAGATAATGCACTCCTTAGTAAGATACCATTAGATTAACTAATCGAGAATCTTGAACTCTCGAGGAAAAATTATTAAGTTAGAGCTACCTCAGCAACAGTACCCTTTATTCCAGAAACAAAGATATGAGATTTGGTCAATCTGTAAGCAAAACACCAACCCCATAGTAAATCAAATAGAGCCAAGTTCAGACATTAAGTATATCATATCAAAAAAGCAAAATATGAATGAAGCAAAATATAAACTTATGCCAATCGAACAGCAGTCAAAAGTCTATCAACTTAAAACCAAATAGGCAAATACTAAATTCGAAACATAAACTCAACATTATGATACAGTCTCAGCTGAAACATGAACCCATGACAGCCTAACAATGCTCATTAGTAGAATCCAAACTCTACATTAACAAAGGAACTAAAAATGCAAAAAAAAAATCAACCTTAAACCCCAAAATTAAATAGTTTGATGTGAAGTACCTTCTTTGACCATTAGGGCCCCAAACCCTAATCTGGCGGTCGTACAAGGCAGTTTCCTGCTCGGTGAGTTCTTCTCCATCCATTCGCAGATTCAAGCTATCGGTTCAACAAAGATTTTATTTTTTTATAAAGAGCAAACTAATAGACTTTCTAATAGTTCTATTCTATCTACAACATCTAATGACATACGGTGATATTAAAAGTATGTATTCGCACTTTCGCAGTCTCAATGAAAATACCATACCTGTTAAATCGTGAAAATAGAGTTTCCTTGTCCAATGAAAGTTTTTTCATTCTTCTTTCCTTGCACAATTCTGCAAATGTTTCAAACAGTAACAGTCTGATATTCAAACCAAAGAATTTCACATAAATAATAAAGACATTAATTCGTTAAGACAATTGAACGTCCTTTTATTCCTTTGAATTCTTCATCTCTCTCTATCTTTATTTTTTCTTTGTTTGTTTACTGGTTTTTGATTCGCTAGTAATTTTTCTTGCGGCATGCCATTAGTCGATAGTTACTGAAGTCAAACTGATTTAATGAATCATATTAACAACCATGAATTAATGGACTACTAGTTACACTGGAATTTGTATGGTTTGAACCAAAATGATTAGACTTCTCAAACTCGTTGTTGTCTATGAGTGGTGGCCGAATTGCAAACCTTCTATCACGATCATTCGGTGCATCAAACATTGGATGTGTGGGATTTTGTTCCATTATCAACTCACGATTTGGTTGCTGTTCCATTATCTCCTCTCTTTGATATTGTTGGTTCTCCTCTTCTTGGTTCATTATAAAGCATCTTAATTATATCAAGAGAAACAACTCAAAGAATAAAAATGATTAGGGTTAATTTTAAAAAAATCTTCGTCATAAGCGAAATTAAAATCGAAATATAATGGATATTCCTTCCCCGGTAACGACGCTAAAGGACTTGATGTGCATAAAAGTTCAACCAATGACGACTAAGTAAAGATCAACTCTTAATGCTTGTGACAAGCTTTAGTACTTTTTTTTTTTTGGTCACGACAAGCTTTAGTACTTATAAGCCCTATTACAACTAAAACACTCCTAGTGCAAGGTACGATTAGTGGTAAGTAGGCGTCGAACCCAGAGGAAGAAAAAGTGCTAGTGCATTCCAAAAGTAACAAAATCTTCTATATATTAATTGAAAAAACACTAAGTAAAAAATTATGTGTCACTTAATAATGATTTGAAGAAACACATCAATTGAATTTTCCAATCAAAACATTTTAATTAATTCTATATGCCATATTGGAAATCTATACATAATTATATTAATTTTTTAACATGGACTCATAAATACATATCTTACTGATTTAAATCCAACTAAGATATAACATTTTAATATTTTAAATATTATATAACGTAATATTTTAATGATGAATCATTTACCGATGTTAATTACCTTATAAAAATTGTATTTATGTCCATTATTATACAATTATTTTATTTTTTATCGTTTAGTTGTATTCATATTACACGACGAAACCAAGAAATAACCCCTCACGCTAATTAAAGTTGCGCTTTTGTTAT